TCCAGTGGCACAATGAATGAGGCATATAATAAATGTCCGCCAAGAGAGCATTTTATCAGTTTGAAATGTCCACCTACAAACATGCCGTGGCTGGGTATGTGTCTATGAATTTTAGGAGATTGTTATTGTGTCCCATAGCTTTTCAATATTTTTTTTACAAAGGAAACGAATCTCATAGGTACCCCTAAAATATTCACTCTTAGTATAGACATTGGTGATTGCAGTCAGATCCTCTGCTGGTGTAAATCAGTGTAGCTCCATTGAGGATCTGGCCCAGTGTGTCCAGGGATCATGCAGTGTTTGAGGATTCCATGTACTGCTCAGACATCTTTCTCTTACTTAGTAAAATCCTCAGCCATGTGTAAATGTCATGTTATAAACGATAGCCTTTCTTGTCATGATGTTAGTGAATAGTCTGTTATCACATTAGTGCCTAGAAATCCCCAGATCAGGATTGAGTCTAGATTGCTAGGCACTTTACAAACGCATATGAAGATATGGTCCCTGCCCCTAAAAGCTTACAATCTATGAAGGCATGATCCAAACCCAGTGAAGCCAATGTAAAGACACTCCTAGACTTCAGTGGCCTTTGGATCAGGCTTTATGAGATCAGCAGTGTCAGGCCTTGGTCCTGTAAAAACTCATATGAATGTGCTTTCTTTTACATATATTACTACTCCTATTGATTTCAGTGGGACTACTCACATGTTTTCAAGTGTAGCACATGCTCAGATGTTTGCAGGATCAAGGCCTTCACCAAGCAGCTGCTGCTCCTGTCAGCTTCCTTAATAATCAGGATATTTGTTCTGTGTCCAAAGGGAAGTACTGTAATTTTAAGGAGGATACTCTATACTCTTCATATATATATTAAAAAAAAGAGATTGAATCCCTGCTTCAAGTGCAAACTTTAATGCAACCTTAACGATGGAACTTTGAATGATGTTTCCATAATACACTGTGCGGCTAGCTTGAGAATAATATTGTCATTACACAGCCCATGAATGGAACTCCCATTGACATCACTGTTTCTTCTATTGGTTGAGGACAGTAAATGGCCCTCACTGATAATAGCATCATTGTATGAGCTGTAATTTTATGATTATTTTTTCTTTCTTGTAGATGTGGTCCCATCAAAATTGATAGGATATCTGCACCATTAATTAAAATAGGACTTTGCCCTCCCTGCTCCCTCTTGTTTTGACTCCCTCTCATACAGAGATGTTTTAAAGAGAGTGATAGATAGAGTTGTTAGCATCCACGATCAGCAATCCCAGGCAGGTAGATCTCTAGAGAGGTGAGGCACCCTGAATCCCTTGTCTGTTTATCTCTGGATCTCAGGGGTGTCTCTTCCCTTATTAATATTTTGGTGGGGGAGGGATACTCATGTGTGACTTGACCCTCATTAACATGAGATTTAGAGTTGCCTTCCACTCTTCCCAGCTACAGTCCCTACCAGCTCCAGGGAGCCCTGCAGAGTTTCCTGCTGCCTCACAATCAGAGCTGTTGGGCTACCTCCTGGTGCCCACCTCCTGCAGCTGCCTGGAGAAAGCCCCAGAAACGCCTTTTCATACATAACAGCAGGTCAAAAAACTAGGAATAAAAAGTCATGCCCCATTTTCACAGAAGAATTTTCTGGGCGTTTGCCCACCACGTCCCAACCCCGATTTTGGACATTTGAAATTTTGAAACTGGAATCATTTTGACCAGCTCTGTAGATGCTCCAAAAATGGAGGGAAAATGTGATCAAGCAGGGAGCATTTCCAGTATGGGCCTAATAGCTCACAGGGGATCCTAAACTCCCTAAAATTTGGTTGTGATGTCTCTGTTTGGCAGTTATTAAACCTTACCATCAATTTTCTTCAAAATGCAGGCCAGGAGAAAGGTGAGTTGTAAATGCCCTTCACTGGGACATTTTCAGGAAGTTTAGACTGAATTTAATTATTGTTTTGGAAAATTTTTAGCAAATGTAATAATCAGAAATATTTTAATTTAAAGGGAAACCAATTTTTGTTTACATGTAATCATTTCTTTGGAATCAAACATTGCAGCATTCTTATACGGCATGAGTAGATTCTCCAGGACCTTCAGAGAAAAATAGGAAGTCATGGAATCTATTACTCCTGTCCAACTACTGTATTCTCAAGATACATTCACAGACTCTGTCACACATCCTAAACGTTTAGTACTACTTTCAAGCCAGTTTCCAGGATTTGTTGCTGCTTTGGATATACTGATTTTGGGGCAGATTTTAAAAGGAGCAGTACTACAGCTGCCATTAAAAACTTTCCTCAGAAGTGTAGAAAATCCTAAAATAATTATCTTTCCTTTAACTTTTTTTTCTGGTCAGTAATGTACTGAACAAGTAGTGCTTTGCTTCGAATCTTGATTTCTTAGGGCCTGTCTTGGATACTCTTATTCCACAATAAGAATGCCTTTTTCCAATTTAGCTCAATACACTTTGGAAACAGATTAAGCTACATCAGAAAAAGGCGGTTTTATTATAATTATGTAATAGTGTCATAGGCGCCGACTCCACGGGTGCTCCGGGGCTGGAGCACCCACGGGGAAAAAAATGGTGGGCACTCAGCACATACTGGCAGCCCCCTTATCAGCTCTCCCTCACTCCCCGCATGGCCTCCCGCCCACCAGCGGGCCCCGCCGATCAGCACCTCCCACTTCATCCCCGCACCTCCCACCCACCGCAATCAGCTGTTTGGCGGTGTGCTGGGAGGGAGAGAGGGAGGGAGGGGGAGGAGCAGAGGACACACTGCACTCGGGGGAGGGGCGGAACTGGGCAGGAAGAGGTGGGGCGGGGAGTTGGTGGCGGGGTCTGGGGTAGAGCTGGGGGTCGAGCACCCCCCACACACTTTGGAAAGTCGGCGCCTGTGAATAGTGTATTATAACTTATAATAGTGGCCACACAGGGAGCTATTCCAGAAGAGCTATTGCAGAATAGCTGTTCTGGTCACTATCACCCCATGTAGACATGCTCTCAGCAACTTAGACTGAAAAACTCGAAAGAGCTGGAATTTTATAAATGATCCATAATAGCAGTAAGTGCTACAGATTTCATGAAAAAATAAACACTGAATTCAGATCTGCAATTCCTTGGAACATATGTCAATGCTGTATACTTTGAAGAAAATTCAAGACATCTATCCAGAATACTTTTTTTGTCTTAATTAATAGGATAGAACAAGAAAAGATGCTTGTGAAGGCAAATAATAAAAGCAAAGTAACATTGATTTCCTCCTCCGTCCTATAGTATTATTGATCTATTTTAACCTAATTGGCACTTCCAAAAATAAATGGAAAAAACACTAGAATCTTAAGAGAGATGCAGGTAACTCTTTGTGATTCAAGTATTTCCGCTCTGTACAGAGTGTCCTTTATCCTGCCTGTTAATGACTCTCTCGCCTCCCTGCCAACCTGCCAACCTGTGACCCGTTAACAAACTGGCTTTGCTTTTGTTCTCTTTCTCTTTAATCTCAGGCCTCTAATTTTTCCTTGTAATTTAACTGAATAACAGAACTAAAGCTGACCTAATGTATGTGTACAAGGGATGAATCCAAACATGGTCTGAAAAAAAAGCAAGTTTTCAATACTGGCCTCATCTGACATGTAGATAAGTGTGCTTTTAAAAAAAAATGTACAGCTAATTTAGCAAAAAAGAAATAACGTAAGAGTTACTGTAACATAAATGCACCAGAGTTTGCAGAAAACAAAAGAAAATTATTTCTGCTGTTCCCCATTGAATGTGCAAGTTTAATGTGACTTATTTTTAATAAATGATAGTCATGTAAACACATTAATATATGTAAAGTCAATGGATTAAATACTTCCACTATCTAACCGTCCTTAGTTCTTATCCTACAGACACTTTGCATGTGGGTAAATTTAAACACGAGGAGTCCCATAACACACATGCGTAATGTTTGCAGGATTGGGAATTAATAATTACATTTAAGGGCTGACCCTTCAAACACTTACTCCTGTGAGTAGTTGCACTGAAGTATTCCCATGTGCCTCCATGTGAAGTCAGTGGGAGTATCTGCATTTAGTTCAGTGAACTTTAGATCAAGCCCTATGCATTTACAATATCAGATTTAGTCCTGTCCTCACTAGTCCTAATTATCCTCTCATCCTGGTGTAAATCATGTGTAACTTTATTGTTGTCAAAGTTACACTGGTCTAAAACAATGTAAGACTAATCAGAATAAGGTCCATTGAATGTGCAAACAGGACTCAGTAGAACAGGGTTGGAGAGGATACACAATTTTCCATGTTAGTTAAAGTAATTTAGTTAGTAAATATAAGAAGCAGACAAACATTTTGATGCTGATTTTTAAAGTGTCCTTAATTTAGCCTCTTTTTTGGGAGGCTGACAAATAATTGAGGAACAGCTTCTAGAAAAGCTTCTCTATGCATCTGAAGAAGTGAGGTTTTTACCCACGAAAGCTTATGCCCAAATAAATCTGTTAGTCTTTAAGGTGCCACCAGACTCCTTGTTGTTTTTTAAGCTCCTAGAAAGCTATTATTTTTATAGTCAAATGAAGATGGCACATCCTCATTTGTGGGTACAGTAAGATAGATGTTTATATATCCTCCTTTGGGCCCATAAATTAATGATTCCACTTATTTGCAGGTACCTAACCTGTGTGGGGGCAAGTTTTTAAAATCTGATTATAAATTCTGCCACCAAATAGGCGCATTCAGCTCCCAGTGATTTCAAAGGGAATGATATGTGGTGTTCACATTTGGGGATAGAGTTTGGTCCTTGTCATTTGAGCCCTAACCTAGGAAGAGTTATTTTGCATGTGTGTTTGACTATTTAAAGTACATGGCTTAACGTTAACCTCTTTGTTCATATGAACCACCTAGGTATTCTTTTAGAAGGCATGTTTAAAGTAAAGCTACAGATAAGAGACTCTTGCCATAATTATATCTCCATCCTAACATAATGCTGTTGTTTATCCCTATCTACTCTTGTAACAAAACAGAAGTACTCTGCTGTCTCTCTCTGCAACATATCTACAGAGGTCCTAAAAGTCATCAATGCCACAGAGGAACTGATCGCAGAATCCACCGGTCCCTGTGATTTCCCAGCAGATACTCATGACAGAGGGAGAGGGGCATTTCCATTAGGTACAGACCCTATCAGACTCGATGAGCAGCTCACCACCTTGGAAGAAAATGTAAGAGTACGATATCAATGTCAAATATAGCAAATTATCTTCTTTAGGGAAAAAAAGTGGCATGTGGTATGTTTTGACCTAAGCAATAGCATGTTGAGTTTTAGTATTAATTTTCTGCTTTAAAAAGAACAAACTTGTTTTGAAAGAATCATCAGCTATTTTTTATTTATTTTTTTAATTCAGTTTGGGAAACATTCATTATAATAGGAACAAACTGAACATCTGTTGGGTTTTATAGTGGTGTAAAATTATCTTACTCTAAAAAGAAACTTAATCCCTTAAAGTCAAGTGGTGACCTGATGTATACAACCTTGGAGTGGCTTACTGGGAAGCAAAATACCTCTATGTCCCCAAACAACCGCCTGGGACATCAAGTCAGGGTACAAAGAGTAAGCAGGAACCTATGTAGGCAGGCAAGGAGTAAGAGTAGCCTTGACTCCACCTCCACTCCCAACACACCAGTCTGATCTGAGAAGGACCTGGAGTAAGGGGAAATGGACAGCTGTGGCATCCGGCACTGCTTTTGGGGTGGTGCAGCTATGTACTGCCCCCATTACATAGAGCAGACTGGAAAAACCATACATTAGTCCTAAAAAATACCGAAAAAGCCATTTCCTCAGAAGAATCAAATTCCTCTGCCCTTTTGAATGAGCAGGTGCTACCCATCGTCACCCAAAGGAAGAATTTAGCTATTTGTAAGTCGTCATTAACTAAATGTTCTGGTGTATCCTGAATGGAATAATAGTTTTTTCATGCCTCTCGATCTTCTCCTAAGTCTGTCTTAGCTGATATTTAAACTACTGTATTTTCTCTTCTTAAGTGAATTTTAAAGTGTAATAGGAATCCCAACTATCCCATTATAACAATTAAAGCAAATAGACACCTGTTTTACTCTGTCTGAAAACCCATAAAGAAAGAAGCTCCTCGCAGTGGGTGAATTCACTTCCTCCACATTAGAGTGCAAGTTCTTTGGGGCAGGCACTGTCTTTTTGCTATATTTTCATACAGCACCTAACACAATGGGATCCTGATCCAGGGTTGGGACTCGGTGTCCTGATAATACAAATAATAAAAATAAATCTGGACTAAAAGTTAAATCTGCCACCCACTTTCTGGTCTGGGACCCGGCCATCAGGGCTCTGGTGTTTTACTCCATTCCCCGTAACTGCTATTCTTGCCAATGATCTGAAATAGTGGCTGCTGCCCATTAGCATCACTTGCAAAGGATATTGAGCTCCCCAGATCCCATGACCCATTCCCCTGACTGGTTCCCCACCTTGCTGCAACTGCTGCCATCTATGAATATATCTACACTGCAGCTGGGAGTGAGCTTCGCAGCCTGGGTATACAGATTTGGGTTAGCAGAGCCACGATAGTGCACCAAAATAGCTGTGTGGACATTCCGGCTCAGGCAGAGGTTCTGCAACCCCCTAGGTTTCAGAGCCCAAGCTCCAGTGCGAGCCAGAAGGTCCATATTGCTATTATGAGTGCACTAGCTCAACTTCTACTGGCTCAAGCTGCGCTACCGCAAGTATGAGGCTTGCCTCCAACCACAGTGCAGACATACCCCCATCCTATGTGTTGAGGTTGGCGTGAATCAGGCCCTTGTGTAGTTGCTCCCCCTGTGCAGCCCAACCCTGGAACCTCAGTGGTGTAAAGAGCCTCATGTTTGCTTTTCGTGAATTTCCCCCCATCATACTTCTTAGTTTGAACACATTTGAAAGGGTGCCAGAAAATTAAACTAAACTACAGCATGTGTAACAGAGATGCCTACTTAAATCAGTTTCCTGTCAGTGTCCAATTGATTTTATAGTGCATTAATCAGTGTAATGAAGTAACAAGTTTAGAGTGTCAGGAAATGTAGATGTTTTAGTCACTTGAAATATTTAATGATTTAAGCCTTAATTCTGCACTGGGATCCTCTAGTGCAGTGCTTCTCAAAGTCGGGCCGCCGCTTGTGCAGGGAAAGCCCCTGCCGGGCCGGGCCGGTTTGTTTACCTGCCGCGTCTGCAGGTTCGGCCGATCGTGGCTCCCACTGGCCGCGGTTCGCCACTCCAGGCCAATGGGGGATGCGACCGCCAGGGGCTTTCCCTGAACAAGCGATGGACCAGCTTTGAGAAGCACTGCTCTAGTGGGCTGACCCCTGTGCCTGTGTGGAGCCCTAATGACTGGGAGAATGAGAACAGAGTGAAAACTGAAAGCCAGATTGTCCCAGGTCACAAGAGGCGCCCGAAGAGGAGGCCAGTTTAAAAGATTTCCTCCCCATTCTTTTGCTTCCTATCCACCCACCAAGGAATAAACAGTGACCTCCACCCTTAAATTCCAAGAGGTCCCCCCTGATCCACATGGGTCTTTGGGATCCATTGGGGCACAGGGCCTTGTGCATTCACATCGGCTGTGGCTTTCCTGCGCTGTGGCAGTACAACCCCAGTCACAGTGCCAGAGCTTGCCCACACTTGCAACACTCCCCAGAATTGCCCTCTAACGGGTTCCCCAGCACAGAGTGGCTCCACAGGAGAGGCATACAACCTCAGCCTGATTTCATTTTCCTGCAAAAGCCATGCAGGCTGCAAGGGGGGACGATGCACATTATCCCCACTCTCAGCCTCAGCCCATCCTTTCCCTCTCCATGCAAAATCCTGGCCCATGGAAACTTCCATTGGCTTCAATGGGCCAGGTTTTCACACCTCAGATATACATGTGCAGATTTGTGAAGAGCCATCTGCAAATCCAGGACTGGTGCCACCAAGTCAGCTGCTCCATCTCCTCAAGTGCAGCTGGGAGCAGATCTGCACACACAGGATTCCCTCTGCACATGATCTGGGCCTGAGAAGAGACTTAAGGAGAGTTACTTGTGATGGATAAAATCCTGAACAATTATTGGGAATTATGTGTATGAGTCAAAGGGGAGAAAAAAGAGCACACTTTTCTGCCGGATATGTGCAAATAACCTCACATGTGCTTCAGTGGGAACTGCACACGCTAACTTATAGCTGAGTTTGGCTCATACATTTAAATTTATAGATAAATAATTTAGTGGGAGATTTTCAAAGGCACAAAGAGGAGTTAGCCCAACTCCTATTGAAAATGAATGGGGTTTGGATGTCTGTCTACTCTCTGTGACGTTGAAACTCTCCCCATTAGAGCTGACTGGAAAATCTGCAGTGAAATTAAATTTCAACAAAAGTTGAGGGTGGAGGAGTTAAGAAAACTTTGTGAAAAATGTTTTCTATTTTCCAAGCAGTTCTGTTTTCTGTAAGCATTTTTTCCTTGTGAAAAATTTAACCAGTTGTACATTGTACTTTGCCAAAACATTTAAATGAATCTTTTCTTCAGCTTTCTGAAGTATTTGCTGATTAAATATTTCTTTTTTCCTCTTTCTCCTCTTGTGAGCTGCATGGATGTATTTAGCAGAAAAGAAGTCAGATATAGATATAGACATACAGTCTCTTTTTAATCTAAAATTACTGTGCAGGAAATGTTGCACCACAAAGAAATTGCTTTGAAATGAAAGAACTTTTTTAAAACCCACTAAAGCATGGAAATTCTTGTTTAAATCAGAATTTTCATCTTTTAGTCATCCTTTTGAGTCTTAAGTGCTTCAACCAAGATGTCAAGGCAGGCCACTTCTTTGCAGCAAACCACCTTATTAAAGGATTTATCCTCCATGCTAAAATTTGTCATTTTGGAGATTCACTTAGTACGAGACAAAGTGTATTAGCTTGTCAGCATAGTCACATATGTGTAAAAAAAAATACAATATAGATTTATACTCTTAAGACTGTGATTTTCAACCTGTGGTCCACAGACCCTTGGGGGTCCGCAGACTATGTCTAAGGCAGTGGTCCCCAACCTTTTTCATCTGGCAGGCGCCAGACGATGAGCCACGGAGGACCGTGGTGGCGGACGAGCATCCACCAAAATGCCGCCGACAAGCAGTGACATCAATAGGTGTCGGCGCCGAAATGCCACCGACAAGCAGCGTCATCCAGAGGCGTTGCCGCCAAAATGCTGCCGAAAATCTGGATGACGCTGCTTCTCGGCGGCATTTTGGCGGATGCTCGTCCCCTGGCCAGTATGCGGGCACACTTTAGACCCCCCAGCGGGCACCGCGTTGGGGACCCCTGTCTAAGGGGGCCATGAAAGATTGTTGTTACCATAGAATAATGGCTTTCAACCTGTGATCTGTGGACCTCCGCTGTCCACAGACTATGTCTAAGTTTTCCAAAGGGGTCCGCACCTCCATTTGAAATGTTTTAGGATTCCGCAAATGAAAAAAAAGTTGAAAACCACTGCTCTAAAGCAACCAATTCAAGATGTCCTATTTATTTTTATTTTGGGGGTTAAAATGATTTTGACTTAAGGAAAACACAATCTAGTTCAAATAGTTAGGAAATGATAATATCTAATGTAGTGGTTCTCCAGCGCTTTTGGTCCATGATAACCCACAAAAGGGCCCCAAAATTGTATCCTACCCAACTGTATTAAAGGGTTGTGGGATTTGGAACACCGGCTGGTACTGTTGCTGCTGGGTTGGGCAACTTGTGTGGTGTGTGAGGGAGTGATGCTGCTGTGAGGGGGAGTGTCGTTTCTGCTGGAGGCTCTTCTCTCTGCGTGCGCAGTGCTCAGCTGTGGGACCCAGAAGCCAGCTGCACCGTGTTTTTCCACTTGTGGTTTTTTTGTACCAATGTGATCATTCGGGGGTGCTGAAATACTTGGCAGCATTCTTTAGTTTACTTCCACTGTTCAGCAACAGTGCTGCTGGGATTGCGTGCTGGTTATTTAGTGAATGGGTAGAAGATACAATATTGCCACGTGGACTGGCAGACATTTAGGCAGAGCACTACGTGGTAGATGCCTGTGTCCTATCCAGAAAACCCAACAGCTAGACAACATACTTTGTTCTCTGAGTAAGATGAAAGAAAGTAAATAAACCACTATGTATTGTGAATAATCGCTCTGAATAGGAAATAAACTGTCTATTAGTGGTTTCTCCCTAGATGAGATTACTGTGCAGGAGAGATTGTTTTAAAAAATAGTTCTAACAGAATTGTAGTGATACATTTATTTATCCCAAACATCTTATAACTAAGGACAAGTTATCCATGACTTTATCTCCCCACGGTCAGACTGCTAATGCACCGTACTTGGGGGTGCCCCTGAGACTCATTCAGAAACTGAAGCTAGTGCAAAATGTGGCAACCTGCTTAGCAAGTGTTGCGTTTCGATGGGAACACGACATCATTGTCTGAGATCTGCACTGCCTGCCTCTTGGTCTCCAGGTATAATGCAAGGTATTAGACTTAAGATATAAAGCTTGACATGAATTGGGACTGGCCTGCTTGAGAATCTTCCCTTCTCCCTTGCCACTGCTGCGGTCAAAAAGGACACTTGATCCGGGACTTCCCATGTTACAGAAGAGAGGGAGCTGCTAACAGAATGCTCTCTGAGAGGGCCCCTTAACTATGGAATTTGCCCCTCCTACTTTATACCCAAATAGCTTAGTTGGTTGACCTTCGAGATACACTGCAAACCCTATCTATTTGTGAAGGCTTGTGGAGGGGGATGAAGATCTGAGTTTTGGATGCTGTGGGATGGTGTATAGTCTGCTGCTTTGATTAATTATCAAGATAATTTATTTTACTGGGTCTAAGTGCTGATATTCTGCTGAGTAATTATTCCTATGTGGAATTTTAATTGTCAGACTGCCTTGATTTTGTGTATAGGCATTTTTATTTTAAAATTAAATATATAGATAATGTTATTTCATAGTAGGGCTGGTTGAAAGTTTTCCATCTAAACTGCTTTTGACAGAAAATTGGGGTTTAAACAAAACTTTTTACTAAATTGTCAATTTGTGCTAAAATTTCAACTTTTTATCAAAAAACTGAACACCTGAAAACTAAAATGTTTTCAGTTTTTGGCTGAAAATATTTCCATTTCAAAACACCACTGTAGTGCCTCATGGGAGTTGTAGTTTGGCTGCCTCCTGCCTCCATTCTCCTCTAGGGGCTGGATTCTCCAGCCAGACTACATCTCCCATGATCCACCACAGCCAGGACTTCTGTGGTGCCCCATGGTGGCTTGGCAAATGAGGAAACTGTGTTGCATAATTGGAGATGTAGGCAGGCTAGATAGCCTTGAACATAATGAAAAATGGGGTCATGAGGTATCCAAACATACAACTCACAGGAGGCACCATGGAGGCATTTCCAATTCAAAATTTTCATTTTCAGTCTAAAGTTTTCAATTTTTGCTTTGTCACCAAAAAGTTGAAATTTTCCATAGGGGGAAAATAAATTTCCAACCAGATCTATTTCATAACAACTGTGGTGCATGCAGAGATTTTGGGGGTCTTGGGGTTTTTTTGGCTTTCATCTTTTCTGCCAATAGTCTATGGTCTCTTTGAGTTACACCATGAATAAAAACAAATCTGACTTACTCTGTACCATGATTTGGATCCTTAGGTGTATCTGACAGCAGGCACTGTGTATGGGTTAGAGGGTCAGCTGAATGAATTAGAGGATGCAGCACGCAAAATCAACAGTGTTACAGCGGAATCGGAACTAGCTGATCTGGAGGATCAGGTAGCAACAGCAGCAGCACAGGTTCATCATGCAGAGTTTCAGGTGAGGAAATTCACTACCTTCCTATTTCGAAAGCCAATACAGTATTGTACTGTCGTGCTTAGCCCTTATATATTAATATTTCACTTTTTCAAGCTTATCATCACTGTTATACAGATTCTGTCTGTACCCACATGGATTAATTAGCTGGACTTCATTTTTAATAATCCAAAAATATGTATCCATATAACAGCAGCTGAGCAGGGTGTGTGTTGCTTGGGCCATATTCCATCACATATAGATATACAGGAGGAATCCCCTTCTTTGGACCAGATATGTTGGCTCTAATCTTGCTGGTACTGAAGTCAGTTGGCAAAACACCCATTAACGTCAATAGGTGCTGATTCATGCCCAAGTTCCATTGACAGCATGCTGTACATCTTCAGATTCAGCAAAGACGCTGGACTCTGTGCAGTAAACTAAATCGGGTGGTGTTCATAGACCAGAATGAGAGAACTACGGCCACATAATGTGCGTGTGCTGATTTTACCACCTCTGTTCTGAACAACCTTCTGAACTGTTTCACTGTGCCAATATATACTGGCTGGCACATTCTGAGGTCTTTACTAAAAAAAATTTTACAGGCAAACTTACATTGATTTCATTCAGCAGCAGTTGCTTGTGTAAGGACTAAGACCTCAGGATTTGTCCTAACTACTTGAGTAGCTTTAAAACCAAGGATGGTGTTTTCTTTGTATTGGCTTGAATCATTAGTTTATGGTAACATGTAAATAGGAAAAAAGACAGCCATACAAGATGTCGAAGGAAAATAAGTTTGTACTTAAAACAGTTAAAAAGCAATCAATCCTAGTGAGAATATCTTTCCCACAGTATTGGCAACTAAGATTGTCATCTGTCATCAGTGTGCCCCTGCACATGTTATCTGTCTGGCTGTTTTCTCGTTTCTCTATCAGTTCTGTCCCTTTTGCATAATTTGTTTCCTCTATCTCCACTTCAGCCTGCTTTCTTCCCAAAGGCTTATTTACTTGCTGTTTGTTTGCTTGTTTGTTTAATAACATGTCTTTACTGACAGGGCTGGCTCCAGGGTTTTGGCTGCCCCAAGCAACAAAAAAAAAAAAAAAAAAAAGACCGCGATCGCGATCTGCGGCGGCAATTCGGCAGGAGGTCCTTCGCTCCGAGGCGGAGTGAGGGACCATCCGCCAAATACCTGGACGTGCCGCCCCTCTCCGGAGCGGCCGCCCCAAGCACCTGCTTGACAAGCTGGTGCCCGGAGCCGGCCCTGCTTACTGAGGTATTTGAAGTATGAGTTACAGAACGTTTAAGGTAGAAGATTTCGGTGTTGTTACAAAGAAACCACTTTGTTCTGTGTTCAGAGAAATAAGAACCAATGTGAAATAGCAAATGCAGTATAAAATATAGTGCTTTAAGCATAACTTTTTAAAACACAACTTGAATGAGGTTAGAATTACACAGCTGTGAGTCATTTGTTACTGGATATTTTTCAAATGTAGGAAAGTGTCCATAGTCATAGAGAATGTGAGTACAGTGCCACGAGATCATTCGTTTACTCCATGTAATGAGCAATCATCTTTTCTAATATGTGAATGTTCCCTTTGGCACTCATGACTAAAGAACACAGCCGTCCACAATGTCTCAATTAGATTATCTTTCAGAGTTACAGAAGAAATCAATTGTCTCTTTCTTTATATTTCTGATTGATGAGGATGTGAGCATGAGTTCCTTTTGCCGTTAACTAGTGGTGTTTACAGTAATTTTGAAACTTCTCCCTCCCTTTGTTTCTTTTTAATGTATTGTTTTGCTTTAAGATTTCAGATATCGAGAGCAGAATTTCAGCTCTCAGTGTTGCAGGCTTGAACGTGGCTCCATGTGTTCACCTGACAAGAAAACGGGATCAAAAGCAAATGAACCAGGTGCCACAACATTATGCAGTTTTGCATGGGGGAAGACCCTGCTTCTTTCTGAATTAAAGCTTAGTAAAACCTATGTGTTTTTCACAGATGCAAACAATAGACACATCAAGACAGCAGAGGAGAAAGCTGCCAGCTCCACCGGTAAAAGGTGCACCAAAAAATTCATTCAACTCATTTTATTTATTATGTTCTCTTTCTGGTTAAACTATAGTGTACAGCCTAAAGAGGGCAGCAAAGGGGAATTAAATTACGAAGTGAATGCAATGAGAATAAACAGTACCCCAGAGCTATATGTACATAAAATCAAATACTGATCTGGCCCTTTGGAAGGTGCTTTCACTTGCTCATTTGATGTAATTTGATGCCATACGTCAATGGGGACAAGAGCAGAAGACTGGCTAAGGCAAATAAGAAATGATGACTGTGTGACCTGAAAAGGATCCCCAAAAGGGTATTTTGGAGTGAGTGAAGGTTAGAATCAGCAGACAGAGCAATCACAGCATGCTAGTTAGCAGAGATGGTGCTAGCCCATTGGGGGCCCCCCACATAACATGCAATAAAAAGCCAGTGGGGAGCCCCCTTGAGCTGCTTGGGGCCCTAAGCAATTGCATAGTCTGCTTATGCCAAGCACCAGCTCTGCTAGTTAGCGATGGACAATTGTAGTTCAAAGCATTATTCTGGGATTAAGTGGAGCATGTGTCAGGAAGCCACCTGTACCATAGACAACAGATCCCATTTCTTGTCTTAAAAATATTTCTAGTTTCTGGAGAGTCAATGCACTTGATTAGAGTTTACTATATACACATGGAAAAGCGTAATTAAGGCCTGAATCCAGTAAAGCACTGTTTAATAAAACATTTAAATGTGAGCTTAATTTAAGCACATCTTTAAGTGCCTTGCTGAATCCAGGCTGGAAGGTGTAGGAAGTTTTAGGGACGGGGTGAAGCCACCCAGCTAACATGCCTGTCTCTTTTATTTACCTTCATCCCAGTGTCATGCTTTCGCCATGCCACAAAATCATCTTAAGAAATGTATCTCTGGAATTCATCTATAACTTTTGGCTTAGTGACATTGTCTGGTGATTTAGTGTACACACATGAACATTTTCATGAGATAGATCTGTCTTTGCTTTCCTGTTTACTCCAAGTTTCCTAAGTTTTCAGTGTGTGCCTTCCAATTTTTTTAACTCTTCAGTGGTATGAAAATACCGATCTCAGACAACTTCTGGGCCCGATGAAGTCACTTGATCGTGAACCAGCCTGTCTCATAATTTCAAAAACCTCTCTTACAATATCACAGTCTTCCAGTTTCCATTTAAAGTAAACCTAACTATCCTCAAAATTTAGATTTAAGTCTCTAAAGAGCTAGAAGATTTGCTTTTTCAAGTCTGATGCTTGGTTCAAGTTGTCACGTAAAGGATGTTCCCATTTTTTCCCTCCCAGGTGAAAATATTGATGCTTCTCCAGTTACTACTGTTAGAACATTTAACAGAAACTTTATGCTCCAAGGATCTCTAACACAAAGAACTAAAGAGAGAAAAAGCACTGCCAAGGACTTGATGGTAACATCTGAGAACAGACCTTGTTAAAACTGTTAAGAGCAGGAAATACGGAGAGAGGGATTACTCATTTAAGGCTAGATTGTGCCTAGCCCTTACTCACTTGCTCACGCTCTCCTGTCGACTCCCCTTGTACTTCTCGTTCAGGTGGAGTACAGAAGTCAACCGGAGAGTGATCAGTGGTCGATTTAGTGGGTCTAGTGAAGACCCACTAAATCGACCACTGATGCATCGATCGCCATGTGTCGAACCCCCGGTAAGTGTAGACAAGCCCTAGTCTAGTCTGTACCTACATTGATGTGCATAAACATGCTCCTACTGCAAGTTCTCTGGGTGTGTTTATAGAATTATAAATATAAACCATTTCAAAAAAATCCTGTCAAAATAGGCAGAATTAATAGACATTCGCTCCACAGCGCAAACTTGTGGGGCAGACCCTGACAGCAACAATGCCACAATATAATACAGTAGAAGACACTCTCCTCGTATCTCAGCTGCTTACGGGGAAATGCTCAGCATACAAATTTAGTGGGAATTAAGTGATGCATAAACCGTGTACTTAGGGGTGAATTTCATCCGTGTGTGAACAAATGGGCCATTCACTGTACCCAGAAGATCAATAATCTCATGTTCTATCAGGCCAACGGGGGAACAAGTCCAAGAGCTGAAAACACCTTGCTCCAGACACCCAAATTGAGATCGTGGCCCCACTGAAGTCAATGAAAGTTTTGCTTTTACCTTTAGTGGGGCCAGGATTTCACCCACAGAATTCAAATCTAAGGACTGTCAAACAGAAGCAGCTCAGCTCAACAATCAGGAGGGGACTTAAGTGGTATACAAGTCTTTGTACTGCATGGGGTATATTTCACCTGGTAATAAAACATTGATGGTCCCCTTTCATTTAAAAAGCCTTATCAGCATTGTACCCTATACATTTTTTGTCATTATGAAATCTTCTGCTAATGTTTTCCTTTTCTCTCCATTCTAGGAACCAACTATAGGATCTGCTGTAATGTACTAGACTTACAAAACTACTGCCAATAACACACTGCCTAAGGCTGTACACTATAGTGCCTTTATTTAACAGCCATTGTATATGTCCAATGGAAAACGGACCCTCGAGAACCCACAATGCCTCAGTAATAGGGCTTTGTTTGGATACCTCACTGAGAAAGCTGTCCAGCATTGTGGTCTGCTAATGGAAACTCTGCCTTAAAGTTCTCATGAGACTCCAGAAAGGATACTGAGTTTCATAAGCAAGGCTCCATGTTTTAAGATGCACTTTTTTCCCCCCATTGATTGTACTAAAGTATATTGTCTTTAAAATACAATATGTTTTTGTATACTTAATTTAACCATCATTGTTGGTCAATATTTCATGTGAAGAGAAAGGTAAAAAACAAACCTGTGATCCATATTTGCTGGCACGTTTGACACTGAGTTCAGTGTTTGTAGATCAGTCCCAATATCATTTTCGAAAAGACCCTCTGTGTGCTGATAGAGCAACGTTGGCTGAGTTATTATTCTATCTCCAGACCTGGGCTGTTTGGATGCTAAAGGAGCAGTTTACATTTGCGATAGGCTGGCACATTCCACCATAGCATACTGTGGTGGGGGACACGCATGTATCATGTCTACAAAAAGATAAATTCTGAGTCATTATTTTGGCATCTGAAAACCACTGCAAAATCAACACCCTGCACCTCTATGCTTAGAAGCATAATCCATTTTAGGCAGTGTCCTAAATATTTGTTACACCCAGCAGGTGCATCTCTGAATTAATCCTTATCAAATGTTTAAGATTACAAAATTAGAATAAAACAATGCTCGGTGTTGGATATTGTTCAAAGAAAGTGCTTCCTGAAATGTATTTTTAAACATTAAGGGCTAGTTATAAAAGGCCCTTGTACAGGTGCTACGAGGGGGCACCTCACCTCACTTCCCTTCCCTTGCATGATGCGTGGAAGGGCCTTTCAGAATTGCAGTCCCTTTGCTCTGAGGAGCGCTGGAACTGCTCTCCTCTGTAACCTAAAGGAAGCAGAGAGGAGATGGGGCCATGGCTCGTCTCCCTTCCATGCTGACCCCCAGAGCAGGATCAGTGCACAGAGGGTGCTGAGCCGCACACCATACAGGAGTGTAGCAGCAGACATGCTCTCCCTGCATCCCAGAATGTCTCCTGAAGCTCCACCAGGGGTAGCACCTCTCTGTACTGGTCATTACTTAATGGGCAGTACAGAACCCTAAGGAGTGATTAGTTTATTTAACCACAGAGGTTTAGAAATAAATTTTAAAATATGCAGTAATTTAAAAGTTGGGGACATTAAACAACTTCTGACTGATTCAAAAAATGATGGCCAAAATTTTCAAATTTGGCTGCCTCAATTTAGGCACCTTGATCTACATTTAGGCTACCTACAGAAGAGCAGCCTGGTTGTCAGAAATGCTGAGCATTCGCAGCTCCCATTGTCTTCCTCGGTAATTGCGGATGCTCAGCACTATTGAAAATTGGACTTACACTGTAGGTAGCCATTTTGGCAGTTCGGGTCTGTATGTCAAAGAGATGGAATAGTTTTAGTTTAGCAAGATCTGATCAGTAGGCTTGGATTCTGCATGACTAAAAGTAAGGAGCGGTTCAGATCCAGCTTCCATTTTGTCCAAGCCCACCCAGACCTGATCAGAGTAGCCAGGTAAATGGTTCCAGTGTGAACTTCCCTCCTAATTTGAAGTCTCCTCACCAGTGCAATTGGATCATCCAATTATTTGAAAATAATTGGATCTAATTAGAAGTGTAGGGCCATATCCCCTACTGGTGGAAATCCCCATAGTTCCATTGATAGCAGTGGAATTATGGTGATTTACACCAGTTGAAGATCTAGCCCAGGATGGTCATTCTGGGCAAAATTATGCCTTGTGTTATTCTCTTGCAATCCTCATTATCTTCAATTTGTTTGCACAAGTATGAGGACAGAACTTGGTCCAGTATGTTTAAAAATAGTGTGTGTGTGTGTGTGTATGTGTGTTTGTGTATATATACACACACACACACACACCATTTAATGAAGGAGATTAAACGGAGTAGGATGCCTAATACATTTTTCAATCTCCATCCAGTAGACTGTTCTCTTATGTGTGTACAATACATTCCCAGATTTTTGTTTATGCAGGTATGCGTGTCATGAAATGTCACTAATAGTGGTTGGTTTACATATTTGTCTAATAATAAGCTAATACTGTGTATGTAATATCAATTCAGAAATGACTAATTTTAATAGATTAATGGCTTTTGTTCTGTTAGTGTGATTTAAAAAACAGACTTTGGAGTAGGATGTTTTCCATAAGAGGCATGAAAAGCAACTACTGTTGTTACAATGTTAAGTCTTCTTTGACAAAAATGTGTATTGTGTAGGTATTGCAAAACAAAAAACAAAACAAACCCTGCCCCACCCCGCTACATGGTATTTGCATTTTTACAGATTTACTTGTGCCAAATATGTGCAAAGATTTAATTTACTGTTTTAAAAAAATCATAAAAACATGTTATAGCACACAAAGAATTATTTTGTCATCAAGTGATTTCAATCTTTAGCGTTAATATTTATATTTAGATTAATTTTTATAAATGAAAATATTTTAATGGTTAAAAAAATTAAGACTATATAATGATCTATTTGATTAAGTCTGAGTGAAAGTAAAGCTTGCCTTGTTGTTGTTATCTGCGTATTCACCAGGAATTCTTGTTAAGAGAAATTATAAGAGTAAAAGCAATTTATGAAAAAGAATGCCTTTGCAGGGACCTGATTCATAAAGAAAAAGAAAATAAATCTCCTGTTGTTCGGATTTCTGTGCACTTTACTCAGAAAAGGTGCAGACTGCACAGCCATATATTTGAGTAGGATGGTGGGTGCTCCGCCCTGGCAGTATAGGAACTTGCTGTACATAAATGACCACTTCTCCATTGGTTCTTTCGCAGCTATACAGCTCAGAAAAAGACTGCAGTATTCCAGTGTGTGAAATGCACCAATGTAGCCAGGGAGGGATAGAGAGACATACTCTTCCTTTCAGATTGATTTTAGCGGAAAAAGAAGAGAGTCCTTTAAGAAATGTATTACATCCTTCTAAACCATATGCACGTTGTGCTAAATACTGTCCCTCAACTGGCAAAATTCCCATAGATGTCAGTGGGGGTTTAAGAGCTGGGTTGGGTAACCTCAGGCTTTGGGCCTCTCTAAATACATACACCACCTTCATTTCCTATATTTCCCTGTTCTAATGTGTCCAATGCAAGTTTCATGCCATGGGGCAGGTTCCTTGCAGGTAGCACATTCACTTTTATCTTTTTGCTCTGCGTTCTTGCCCCGTGCTTTTTCCTTGCAAGTGATAAATGCCCTAAACCCCAGGCTCTGTATTCCTCATGATTAGGAGAATCACTTTCCTAGCCCAGCTGGAATTGTGCAGTCTGAGGCTTTTACTGCTATAGCTTGCACTTTTCCATCTCTGTGCTGTGGGCAGTCAGTGTCACTTCTCTTAGTGTGGATTACTGCATTGCCCAGCAGTGAGTACTTCACATTTGGCCTGGTCCTTTAGAAAATGCCATGGAAATATAGTCCCCCTCAGTGGTGCTCATATTCACAGTGTGGTAGATAACAAGCCTTCCTTCAAGTATCAGCTGTCAGAATATGGCTGCAGAACCCTTTCACAGAAAAGATATATGTGCATACAAAACACTGCCTCAGCCAGCTAGCTGGAGATTTCCTCACAAAAGCAGAATCCCCTGGCTGGCCTAAAGCCTGAGTAGCAGTTATACATCTTCTATCCCCTTGGAATAGGGGGTATGGGTGCAGCAGTGCGGAGTTCCAGTCAACCCTGACCATCAGAATGACTTACTGAGGGCTAGCAGCTGGTGCCACTTTAAGTTCTTCAAGCCTGGACCAGTGGCACAATCTTGATCATCTGGCCCAGTATATTTAGCTTGTGTGGGAGTCCCAGGCCAAGTTGGGACTAGTTCTGGTATACTGTTTGCCCTACTCCATTGCAAAGTCCATGTAAGCTGTTGAATTTTCTCTCTGTAGTGGCATAGGAGCTACCAAGGCTGATAGTGGGTTTATTTTAACAGCCAAATGGATGATGACCATAGTGAGAACCCTGGATAATCCCAGCTAATTTCTGGCTCTGTTCACATACCTGCCCACACTCATGGGTTGGTGGTTAGGCAGTTGGCAACTAGACTAGCATCAGGAACTGAACATTTCCATTATCTCTTGCATTAAGGCTACCTACCTCAGTGACGTGAAGGATCTATTTTAAGGATACGCACCCTTGCAGGTTAAAGCAACCAGAGAGCTTGCAAAAGGCCATTGAGAGGAGACACTGTTCCTTCAACAGGCCACAGTGGCCAAGATTTGATAAGATTGTGTAGTACTGTAATTATGTTTTTGATTAAGCTATTCAGAAGGTTTTGGCATAATGCTGACAAAACACTATTACCTAAAAGCCTCCTATCTTTCTTAAGATAGGTGTGACAGAGGCTTCTTTGGTGGTGCTGGTAGATTGTCTTTTTATTGTTATTCAAGCAATAGCTTGTCTAACAAGTCTGAATGATTGGCTTTAAAAACTGGAGTAGTCTTAGTTCATAAGCTATCCACACTCTCCTAAAAAAGTTAACTGCAATAATATGGGACTCAGGTCACACCTCATATGAGCAACAAATAGTGGATATGCATAGCAAGCAGTCTACAACCAAGCTCAGGGCTCAAATTCCTTCACACAAACTATTTATCAAACAACTGAGAAATACAATCAAGTCTGTAAAAATAAAATCACCTCCTGATGGCAGATAGCCCATTTTTCTGCCTCTGAATTAAGTTAGTTGGATAAATGATGTGCTGTGATTAAGTCAACCACTGCTACTTTGGCAGTGATTCATGAAGACAATAGACCAAGTTTGTGTGTCTAGTTATCTTCTGAAGTACTCTTCAGGACCGAAGTTTTAATTCTGGTCCATTAGCTAAATAGTAAATGGCCTTTTTTTGACCATGAGCTACAACTTAGCTTATAATTTTATCTGATGTATTTTTGGTGGCACGAGTTGCTTATCAAGATTAAATATGTATAATTATATGAGCAATGCTAATTAGAAGTTTTTGAATTACCCAGAAGAGAGATGGGTCACATTAATCAAGCAATCATGGATTATTTATGCAATCCAATATAATAGGATAATTTTTTAGGTATGATGCTTGAACAGTGACTTTTAGCTTTCCCAGTTAAAAGATTTATAGTAGTGGTTTTCAATCTTTTTCCCTTTGCAGACCCCAAAAGATTTCAAATGGAGGTGTGTACCTCTTTGGAAATCTTAAGCATAGTCTGCAAACCCCTAGGGGGTCCGTGGACCACAGATTAAAAACCACTGTTCTAGAGGGACATCAGCCAGCAGCTTCACCTGTCTTTGGCCTCATTGTGCTGCTGAGGGTGACGTGCTAGGATGGCACAAAGCTACCCTGACAGTTTAACTAGCCTGTGGCCTTTTAAACTCCCTGTCCTTCAGAAGGGAGGGTTGTTTGTTTTTTTTCAAACTAAGCAAGCAAAAAATAAATGCACCTGTTTGTAGAGTACACCCTGTACAATAGCAGACATTTTAAAGGGCCAGGAATATACAGTGTATAAATCCAAGCCATTACACATGCATCACAACCACATGTCACTGTGGTATGAAAATACTCAAAAAGCACTAACATTTCATATCTATTTAATAGTGGTAAATACATTACTGAGAATGTGTTTTAGTTCAGCCAGCCATTGTTTACTTTTAACCAGCATTAACAAGTTGCTTTGAAACATGACAAAGGTTTGTTGTCAGGCTAGCATGGAGAGCATGTTTTATACAGAGTTGATTCCAAGCATGGAAATCTTTTGGTTCTTGTACAGATCTACCTTCACAGTGGCATTAGTTTATGGGGGAGGGAAGGAGGGAGCATGGATGCTTTGTTCAGGAGAGAAAGTGTGTGAACAGTGTAGTTTGCATTCAGCATCACTTTTCAGTTTGGATCTTTCCACCTGAGTGTGCTTCTCTTAAAAGGAGTTTACACAGGAAATAAACCAAAGATGTGGCAAAGGACATGTAAGCAAAAAGCAGAACCAAAACAGAGTTTGAACGTGTATGTGGGGAGGGGGGAGAGAGAGAGAGAATTCAATTCAAATGAGAGAAGCAACTGAGTTTAGTTACTGCAGTTGACAAGGAAATCACCACCAGCCATCATCTTCTGCAGCCAAGGCTTCTTGCTCCTGCAAAGCGTTCACAATCAGCTCCAGGCTGCTGGTCCCAGGCCTCAGGCTCTTGTGGCTGCTCCTTAGCTGCCTTTTCCCAAACCGGCCGATAGGTCGGACCCCACGTCCCACGTACCAAAACGGATCAATCTCAGGACCTGGAAATCAAAGCATTCAGTAAGGAAGTGCACACCGAGCCCCGATCAGTGAACAGCACTCCGCTTGGGAGCAACATCTACTGAACAATGCCAGAATATTCAAAGGGATAATACACCCTAAGAAAAACCCAGGGATCACTAACAGTGCACCCCCATAGTCCTAAACATTAAACGTATATTGCTTTTAATGGAAATTCCCCATCTGTAGGGGCTGTAGGATAAGGGTTCAGGTATGGCCAAGATCTTTCCTATCAAAAAGACTTCTCCATGTTTATGGGCCTCAACCTGCAGTTCTTACTCAGTCAAAGCTCCCATTGACTTCATTAAGGGCCCGCAGTGGTTTCTCTAATGACAAAATGGCAGGCAAGTAATTTTCAGCACAAGTTGCCACTACATTTTTCTGGAAATCGTAGCCACCTGTCAGACAATGCTTTCTTTGGGAGGGTGTGTCTGTACAAAGACAAGATTATTCAATTAAAAGTCTACTGAAATAAGTCTAAAGCCTGATTTTGTTCTCCTCTTTAATACAGACAAAGCCTCCTGGGAGCTTTGTCTTGATTTAGCGCTTACAATGCGTAAAGCAAACTATTGACCTGCACTCAGACCTAGGTCTGCACCAACTTTTAGCAACACTGCCTTGGAGGTGGAAAATCCACTGGGGAGGAAGGTTGTAGTTGTGGAAGCTAGCTCAGACCAGGGGGGTGCACTGACCTGTGCATCTGAGCTTCCTGGACTCTTCTAGAGCCCTGATCAATTTTAAAAGTGCCCTTCTTCAGCAGAAGTCTTGAAGAAAGGTGGCAATATTAGTGTTTGCCCTCAATTGAGGTAACCACCCCCACCCTCCCTCAGTCATAGGTTGCTAGCTTGTTGTAAGATGCCTCTTGGCACCAGCATGGGTGCATCAGCTCAATGTGTAAATTCACTTCGCCCCCCACTGGAGCAAACCCCATTTTGTTTTCAAGTCTTTTCCATCTAATGTCGAATTTAGAGAAGATTGCATTCAACCAATCCTGCTAGATAAGCGGTCAGTGAAGACCTTGCAAATGAATGGAATTGCTTCCAAAATTGGCCCTCCTAAATCAAAGGTGAAAAGCTGGTTTGAAAACAATTGATGGAAAAACATTTCAAGG